ACCGTCGAGAATTCTCCCAACGCCTCGAGTGTTTATATGAGGCTATGCAAACACAGGAAATAAGTTTTCTATTGCTTTTATAACATACACTTTCCTAGAAATAGCGCAAAACTCTCTGTATGGCTATGATTAAAAGAGAAATTCTTACCAGTCGCAAAGTCTTGTCCACGAAGTCTTGCACGCGTAATCAGTTCTTGTTTTGCAAAAAGATGCTTTCCAAAATACGGACTTTTCTCGCTTAAAATGTCAGCTTAAGCGACAAAAAAAATTGACACACCTTCTTTGTAACGATTTTCCAAGTTTCAGCCGACGAAGGAATGGGCAAATAAAGTAAACTTGTCAAGTTTTGAACTCGAAAACATTTTCAACTTTCGTGCTTGCGAGATTAACGCGCGAAAAGCAAAGCATCTTGACGCCAAAACCATGTTTACATACTCTCATGCAAACACGCCTCTCGGCCAATCAGAGCGCGCGTACTATCTTAGTTATTTTATAAAACGTCATAGTCCGAGATAGCTAACCAATCAGATTGCTTGAATTACCAAGATCACTGAGTGTGTATATACCAATACAATATATTATCTACAAGACCAATAAAGGGGGGATAATAACTAATTTTAGTATATACACACTCAGTGATCTTGGTAATTCAAGCAATCTGATTGGTTAGCTATCTCGGACTATGACGTTATATTCACCGCCTAGCGCGGTGAATATAAAGCAGAACAAACTCGCTGTCGTGAACTGGGTGTTTTGCCAAAGTTTCATAGTAAAGCCTCTTTGAAAATACACGAACATCCAAGTGCTGATGACTTTGAAGGCAAGAAAGACTTCATGGTGTTTAAACAGCGTGATTTATTGTGAAGTGGTTTACTGTAGCTGACTTTTTGTACGCTCGAAGCTATGTTTACCACTACAGAGGAAAACGAGGTCGCTTTGTCACTGTTTTGTGTTTCGGGATTTTCTCGCAAGACCAATTTTGCCTGAAGTTAATTTACGGAGAAAAGAGGAAGGCAAATATTTTCGAAAATTGTACGTGCCAGCAAGTTTACAAGGCAAAGAACTTTGAAGATAAACAACGCTCACCTTGATCGTAGCCGCTGTTGACAGCATTTGCAAGAAGCGACAAAGAAAACTTTCTCATTCACGGTGAGTTGACAGAAACCAGGGACTGGGTGTTTTGCCAAAGTTTCATAGTAAAGCCTTTTTGAAAATACACGAACATCCAAGTGCTGATGACTTTGAAAGCAAGAAAAGACTTCATGGTGTTTAAACAGCGTGATTTATTGTGAAGTGGTTTACTGTAGCTGGCTTTTTGTACGCTCGAAGCTATGTTTACCACTACAGAGGAAAACGAGGTCGCTTTGTCACTGTTTTGTGTTTCGGGATTTTCTCGCAAGACCAGTTTTGCCTGAAGTTAATTTACGGAGAAAAGAGGAAGGCAAATATTTTCGAAAATTGTTCGTGCCAGCAAGTTTACAAGGCAAAGAACTTTGAAGATAAACAACGCTCACCTTGATCGTACAGGGGCACCCAACGAGAATATAATTCAAAACCACTTAAACATAGCATTGTTGAACGTATTTTAGTATTAAAACGGTGGATATAGGCATATTTTTATCCCCTAAAAATTTTTCATCGAGTCGGATTTCCTGGCTGAAATTTCTAGTGATGCGAAAATTATAGGGATCAGAACTTACCTTTTCGAATGATTTCAGCCAGAAAAAAGGCTCCCGAAAATTCTAGGTGACGTTCTTAGGGTAAAAATCCGTTAAAAGTGGGCAATTACACGATTTTTTAGATGTTCGAAAATCCTAGGAGAGGATTCTAGATTTCAAATCGCCTTCCGAACAGATATTTTCCAAAAATTGACGTTGGGCGTCCTTGATCGTGGCCGCTGTTGACAGCATTTGCAAGAAGCGACAAAGAAAACTTTCTCATTCACGGTGAGTTGACAGAAACAAACAAAGCTCTACTTTTCTTCTCAGAATTGGCACTCTTTTTTCGCTGCCGCTCTTTTTTACCTTGGTGGCCGCTAGCATTTCTCATTTTCATCACAGCCGCTATAAAATTTTTATGTCATTCCTCAAACGAAATTGGTCTTCTTGGTTTTTTATGTCTGGTTCTACCTCTTTCTCTATTATCCACACCAATGTAGATTTTAAAATTAAGTTGAAAGGAAGAATCGGCTTCGTTGTTGAAGTCCGGGTGGCTATGCGATTTACTGCCGAAACGCGCGGAAACTTGAAATGCAAAATTTCACTCCTGCTTACATGAATGGGTGGACGTACGTAAGCACGTACCCCGTACGGACGATTTTCTCAGAACCAAAATTTCTTGGTTGCATAGTTTACCAAATTTTCCTACCCATGGTGCTCCGCTATAATAAGAAATTAGTAGTTTCTCTAGCAACCTTGTGAACCATATTGAGAACAACTGTAAGCTATGGGAAACAAAGTTCGGCTCATGAATAAACTTCAGGTTTTCTAGCTGTTGCTTTATAACACATCTGAATCACCGTAATTTAGTCTTGTTCCGAAGCCTTCTTGCAACATGTCCAACTGAAATGAAGTATAGTAATGAAAGTTCACGTGGTGTTTAGTTTGAATGTAACTGGTCCTTTTGCAGATGACATTATTCGTGTAGTCAGTATGTAAGGTATCGCCCCCATGGCTAATTTTTAGCTAAGAGCGTCCTTGAGATTATTAGACACCGTACGTTAATACATGAATGAAAAGATTTTTTTCTCATTTAATAAAGACGTTTAATTTCCATTTTCGCGCGTTAAAAAAGAATTACAATGTGTTTACAATATGCAGAAAATACAAATTTTAAAACCGTATTGGAACTGGAGTTTTCAATATAATTAAAATTACTAAAACCTACAAGAATATGGTTCAATCATAGTTTCTATTATTATACAAACCTAATTACAAATCGTAAACTAAGAATTACATTAACTTATAGAAGATGTTGAGTTTTCCATTAGGATAGCAGTGCGGAAGAAGCCTCGCCTAAAACGGTCAGTTTTACATATTCAAAAAAACGACCAAAAGTATAGTCATCGGCGATACGCCTAATCGGGGTAAGCAGTTTTAACGAGGGCCTTCCTTTTACAATATCATCAAAAGTCCTCATACACAGCTCATTGCGCCTTTCCTCAAGTCTAGCGATTTTAGCACGTTGTAAGGCTTCCTGGTATGATGGTATGAAGATCGGGGCTATACTATCCTTAAAGCACGCATTTCGACCGGCTCTATTTTACTGGACAGATTGGCGGGAAGGGTGTTACGCTTAACCACACAACATTAAATACTCTAGGACGGAACGTACGAGAGCGACGGAGACAGCAACAAGATCAGCAGTACTGACGCGACCTCTACGTAGAACACAGATAATGTGCAGACGCTTGGATGCCTTGGATACAATCATACAGATGTGCTCATTCCGTTTTAGGTTGTCCTGGACAACCAAACCTAGAACCTTGTGGGACCGAACTGTTTCGAGTACGTGACGATCAATTCGTAAAGGGGGTAGCTGAGGGGTCTCTTTAAAGAAACACACCCATAGCGCTGTACATTTTTTAGCATTAACCTTCACCAGGTTCATCGAAGCCCAGGAGCTGACAGTGTCTAATGTAGACTGAATGGACGCACCTCCTTTCTTAGTGTGACATTCCGAGATAGAAACATCGTCTAAATGCTTTCACAGATTCGTCCAGTGGGCATAGATAAGTCATTAATCATAATGGAAAATAAGATAGGACCCAGTTTAGTTCCCTGGGGTACACCAGCACTGACTAAGAACCATTCTGAAAGCGACTGTCCAATTTTAAAGCGTTGTCTTCGGTTTGAGAGGAAACTGATGATCTATGGTATAAGACATCATCGTATTCTAATCAGCACGTTGTGAACAATACGGTTAAAGGCTTTCGAAAAATCCAAGAAGCAAAGGTGGAGATGTTTATCGGGTGAATCTAGATAAGACAACCAGGTGTGCATCATGTCGAGGAGGCAAAACGCGGTGGATTTACCTTTTTTAAAAGCCGAACTAGTTAGGGTCTATCTTATTCCTTATATCGTCAATCATCCATGTCACCCCAAGGTCCTCTAAAACCTTAGAGATACAGGTCTGAAATCACCTTCAGTTGTAGAAAACTGGGTCTTTGGGATCGTTGTGATGTTTGTATCTTTCCGAATAACAGAAACAATTCCAGAAGCAAGGGATGCGTTTAAAATTGTGGTGACAGGTTTCACAAATTCATAGGCGAATTCTCTCCGGGGGTTACGACAAGCACCTTGTCAGGTCCCTGGTCTTTGAAAGGCTGAAGTGCCAAAAGCTTCTTGCAAACTTCATGAGGTTGGATAGACTGAACAGAAGTAAAATAGTTTTATGGATAACAGCTTGGCCCTTTTCAAAGACTACTCTGAAAAAGTACAAAACAAAAAAAGGCTAAATCAAGCCATGACTCATTTTTTAGTACTTGAGGATGAGGTCGCCTTTGATTTGGGGTGACACACTATTAGCGACTTCACTTATTCAGCTTCCGGTTCGTGCTCCCTTTCCTTTGTTGTATACGAAGGGGTTTTCCTCAGTATTTTCTTTGATTTAAGATGTTCTGCACCTGAGACAAAGGCTTTTTGCGCAGAGCCCTTTTTAAACTTAAGATATTCCTCCATCCTCTCTGGTTCATTTTTTAACGTTCCAGTCCAATGGCATCGTTTCTAACTGCTTTTACCACACTAACTTCAGCTCCTAGATAAACAAGCTTTTTCACAGCTGGTACATCATCATATCTCACTGCCATTTGAAGAGAAGTCCTGCCTTGTGCATCACAGATATTGATATTTTGCTCTTCATACTTCACCAGGAGATCGATTATGTTACTGAAATTGCCGTTAAAAGCTGAAAGGTACACCTTTATCTTAAACATTTACATCCGCGCTGTGTTTAAGTAACAATCTACAGAGCTCTTCGTTACCCTTTCTAAGACTCCAGTACAAGGGTGTATATCCATCTTTATCTTGAATATTTACATCCGCGTTGAGTTCAACTAATAATCTAAAGAGGGTTTCGTTCCCCATTGAGGCACACCAGTGTAAGGGTGTATATCCATGATTATCTTGAATATTTACATCCGCGCTGTGTTCAACTAAAAATCTACAGAGGTTTTCGTTACGTTTTCTAGCACACCAGTGCATGGGCGTATATCCATGATTATCTTGAATATTTACATCCGCGTTGTGTTCAATTAACAATCTACAGAGGTTTTCGTTGCCCTTTTTAATACTCCAGTGCAAGGGTGTACATCCATGATTATCTTGAATATTTACATCCGCGTTGCGTTCAAGTAACAATCTACAGAGGTTTTCGTTACCCTCAAAGGCACACCAGTACAAGGGTGCTTTTCCATCTTCATCTTGAGCATTTACATCCGCGTTGTGTTCAAGTAACAATCTACAGAGGTTTTCGTTACCCCTTTTAGTACTCCAGTGCAAAGGTGCATATCCATCTTCATCTTGAGTATTTACATCCGCGTTGCGTTCAAGTAACAATCTACAGAGGTTTTCGTTACCCTCAAAGGCACACCAGTGCAAGGGTGTTTTTCCATCTTCATCTTGAGCATTTACATCCGCGTTGTGTTCAAGTAACAATCTACAGAGGTTTTCGTTACCCCTTTTAGTACTCCAGTGCAAGGGTGCATATCCATCTTCATCTTGAGTATTTACATCAGCGTTGTGTTCAAGTAACAATCTACAGAGGTTTACGTTCCCTATTGAGGCACAGCAGTGCAAGGGTGTACATCCATCTACATCTTGAGCATTTACATCCGAGTTGTGTTGAAGCAACAATCTACAGAGGTTTTCGTTACCCTCAAAGGCACACCAGTGCAAGGGTGTACATCCATCATCATCTTGAGTATTTACATCCGAGTTGTGTTCAAGCAACAATCTACAGAGGTTTTCGTTACCCTCAAAGGCACACCAGTGCAAGGGTGTATATCCATGATTATCTTGAACATTTACATCCACGTTGTGTTCAAGTAACAATCTACAGAAATTTTCGTTATCCTCAGAGGCACACCAGTGCAAGGGTGTATATCCACCTTTATCTTGAATATTTATATCGGCCTTGTGTTCAACTAACAATCCACAGAGGCTTTCGTTCCTCCTTAAGGCACACCAGTGCATGGGTGTATATCCATGATTATCTTGAATATTTACATCCGCGTTGTGTTCAAGTAACAATCTACAGAAATTTTCGTTACCCTCAGAAGCACCCCAGTGCAAGAGTGTATATCCACCTTTATCTTGAATATCTATATCCGCGCTGTGTTCAACTAACAATCGACAGAGGCTTTCGTTCCCCGATCAGGCACACCAGTGCAAGGGTGTTTTTCCATCTTCATCTTGGGTATTTACAGCCGCGTTGTGTTCAAGTAACAATCTACAGAGGTTTTCGTTACCCTCAGAGGCACACCAGTGCAAGATATATATCCACCATCATCTTGAGTATTTACATCCGAGTTGTGTTCAAGTAACAATCTACAGAGGTTTTCGTTACCCTCAAAGGCACACCAGTGCAAGGGTGTATATCCATCATCATCTTGAATATTCACATCCGAGTTGCGTTCAAGTAACAATCTACAGAGGTTTTCGTTACCCTTAAAGGCACACCAGTGCAAGGGTGTACATCCATCATCATCTTGAGTATTTACATCCGAGTTGTGTTCAAGTAACAATCTACAGAGGTTTTCGTTACCTTCAAAGGCACACCAGTGCAAGGCTGTATATCCATCATCATCTTGAATGTTTACATCCGAGTTGTGTTCAAGTAACAATCTACAGAGGTTTTCGTAACCCTCTCTGACACAACAGTGCAAGGGTGTATTTCCATCATCATCTTGAGCATTTACATCCGAGTTGTGTTCAAGTAACAATCTACAGAGGTTTTCGTTGCCCTTAAAGGCACACCAGTGCAAGGGGGTACATCCATCATCATCTTGAGTATTTACATCCGAGTTGTGTTCAAGTAACAATCTACAGAGGTTTTCGTTACCCTCAAAGGCACACCAGTGCAAGGGTGTATATCCATCATTAGGGAACTTAAGAACCACGACGACGACTTTGTCGACGACGACCGGAAGTGAGATACCGTGCACTGCGCAAGTGCGATTAGCAAATTTCGTCGTCGTGGTGTCGGCGACGACGCCAAACCCAGTAGAATCACGTCGTCCTGCAATCCACAGGCTTTGGTAGGTATAACTCCCTGTTTTTAAGCGATTTTTCAAGGGCTTTGTATTTTTTATCCTCGTAAATCCAGGTATCCTTTCTTTTTTCTCCTAACAAGCGATGTTGATCGAAAATTCGACTGATAAATTGTGTTTACTTCGAAGACAACACTGAGCTGTGGAGGCCGAGCGAGCGAACTCGTAAGTGATAAATTTAGTCGTACGTATTTAGAAAAGGCAAATCATATATCTTTAATATAGAGGAAATGAACTTTATATGGAAAACAGCTATCGCATCGGAATGTCTCTTTTTCCAAATCTAAACTCTGGCAGACACTCGGACTCGGTCATCTCATTCAGGTTGAAAGTTGAATAATCTTCGCACGGAAAGCAGAGATTTTTCCATTCGAAAAGGTCAGACAACACTAAAAATTCTTCACCGTCAATGAAAGTAGACGTACGGCTAATAAAATAAGATCTTGCATCGTTTTAAAAGACGCCTCTGCGAAAAAACTTTGTTGCGAACGAACATCACAGTTCTACTACTTCTACTTGTTTGTTTACATTCAGTGTCGTCGTCGTCGACCTACCGATCGACTGCATCTTAAGTTTCCTTTTTCCCGCCGAAACTGACGTTCTCGTTCCAGTCCTTTCCCGGTCAACAGACGTCGTCGTCGTGAACTTCGTCGTGGTTCTTAAGTTCCCTATTATCTTGAACATTCACATCCGCGTTTTGTTCAAGTAACAATGTACAGAAATTTTCGTTACTCTCAGAGGCACACCAGTGCAAGGGTGTATATCCACCTTTATCTTGAATATTTACATCCGCGTTTTGTTCAACCAACAATCCACAGAGGCTTTCGTTCCCCGTTAAGACACACCAGTGCAAGGGTGTTTTTCCATCTTCATCTTGGGTATTTACATCCCCGTTGTGTTCAAGTATCAATCTACAAAGGTTTTCGTTACACTTTCTAGTACTCCAGTGCAAGGGTGTATATCCATGATTATCTTGAATATTTACATTCGGGTTGTGTTCAAGTAACAATTTACAGAAATTTTCGTTACCCTCAGAGGCACACCAGTGCAAGGGTGTATATCCACCTTTATCTTGAATATCTACATCCGCGTTGTGTTCAACTAACAATCCACAGAGGCTTTCGTTCCCCGTTAAGGCACACCAGTGCAAGGGTGTATATCCAAGACTATCTTGAATATTTACATTTGCGTTGTGTTCAAGTAACAATCTACAGAGCTTTTCGTTCCCTATTGATGCACACCAGTGCAAGGGTACGTATCCATTATTATTTTGAATATTTACATCCGCCTTCTGTTCAAGTAATAGTCTACAAAGGCTTTCGTTTCCTTTTAAGAAAGACTGGAGAAGGGGTGTATATCCATTAGTATTTTGAATATTTACATTTGCGTTGTGTTTAAGTAACAATCTGACGACGTTTTCGTGACCTTTATTGACTGAAACGTGCAGTGGCGTGCACCCATTACTAATATGGGCATTTACATCAGCTCCATGCGTTACAATTATGCTTGCTGCCATGTAGTTGTTCCAGTCAGCTGCTAAGATTAGTGGTGTTTCGTTGCCTTCTCTCCTTTGGGCATTTACGTCGGCTCCAAGATCAATGAGGGTCTCAATAAACTGACTTGAGGATGAACGACTTGCCTGCAGCAAAGCTGTGCAATCACTGTTTGACCCTGGGGCATTAATATCTACACAATCATTTAATACAAACTCAACTGCCTGTTCCACATCATCATGGCATGTAATCCACTGCAGCTCAGTCAGTCTGCTGTTGTCCTCAGCCAACTTTTCATAAATCCTTTCAATATCAACATGAAATGGGTTTGTTCTCTTTCTAAGTGACAAGATGTCAAGTGCAGTTTTTCCTATGAATTCTTTGGCGTTATTTCCCGTTGTTGTAAGTTCCATCTCTTCTACAAAGTTGCCAAAAAGGCCACTAGCTTTTAAAACAATACTGTATTTTTCCTCAAAGACAGCCGCCTGGAGCAGATTAAATCCGGATTGTTCATCCACTTGCACGCAAGCTTGTCTTGAGAGTTTCTTTAGACAGACCTATGATGAAAATAACCATGATTTTGAGCGAAAATAATAAAGAGGAAATTCAGTTACCACTTTTTAACTATTCTAATTGCAGATAATAGATTAACAGGAATTCACTGTCTTCTTATTGCAAATGGACACATTTAACACAACATGTGATGGTGGTTGGTTTCTATGGTTATGGCGTCATCAGTAATATAAGAAATGTGAGTTTTTCGCACTGTTTTGTTAATAATTCTTAATATGATCAAATTCACAAATCACAAATGATTATATTTATGAGGAATCGTGCGCCTTACACAAATTATTATTATCATTATTGCGTTCGAGGTATGAGAACGCAACCCCTAATTTGTGTTGGGTGTTCTGTGCATTATTGGGTGTCCTGTGCAATTAATAAGGGAGGTTTTTTTCGAGATTGCATTCGTCGTCGTCATTGACACACATTTGCCTCGCTTTGAGGCGCTTGCTTACGTTTTGCCTCACTTTGACGCGCTAACTCACGTGGTGATTCGTGTGTCCTCGGCTTTCATCTTTCAAACGTTTGCTGAGGTCTGCTATTCTGTCTTCGTAAATCGTCCATCTTTTAAAAGTGTGCTGAATCTTCGTAAAGCGTACATATTTAAGAGTTTGCTGAAGGTCTACTATCGATCTGTGTTTAATGATTCTTCCAAAGCGTTCATCTTTCAAAAGTGTGCTAAAAGTTTACACCCTGAGCAGAATTTTACTTTGGATTGAGCCTTCATACTTTTTTTGGAAAATGCGTGCTACTCCAAACACAATCATTGTGCCCCGGCATTCACCACAAAAATGTGGTCTTGGGTCGTTCTTTAATACCATCACAAGTTAAGAAGACTTGCCAGTAACCGTTTCCGGAGTTTTATAGTAAATGTCAGTAATTATCTACATGTGGAATTCCCAATATTAAATAAAATTAATGATTACATCTAAAACTTTGTCAACTGTTTGCTTTTTAACAGTACTTAGGCCGGGTTCAAAGCTGGGTTAAGATAACCCAGGCGAGAAGGGTTAGTGCGAAATTTGAACTTGAAATTTGATGTGAAAGCTTCATTTTGCCAACAAGTTGATGATTGGACGCTCTTAAAAATAACTGAGAAAATTATCCAAAGAAATGTTTTTTAACAAAAGAAAAAGGAACCGGGGTTAAGGGCTGATCGGCCCTCGAACAACTGCGCCCTGTAGAACATCTATTGCGCCAGTAAAACAAAACGTTCTTTTTACACGCCCGAAGCGCTAGCCCTCTGGCCAGTGTCTCCTCAACTAAAAAGCACCTGAGACAAACCATACGATATCACGCTGATCACTAGCCTTCAAAACCTTTTCATTATCATGATACACAGTTTAAATCGAGGTTTCGCTGTACGCAACTCTTACGTTCAAACTATGCCATAATCATAGTTATCTATCGCAAGAACCATCCACCCTTTCCCCTCAACTGCTACCTGTACGCCAAGCAAACATATCGAACGTACTCTCCTAAGCTCCGATTACTCCTAGTTATTAGAAAACTATCAATATCAAAAAGATCTCTGGAATGTTACGTGTCGAGGAAAGAAGCCAAAGAAGCGTGGGAGAAGTTTAGTCCAGTCAATCTAGGCATTTTAGGGGCCCAACATCAGACTAATTGCAACAGAATTGTTTTCAGCGCCATTTAAGTAAGGGTGGACTATCTAGCAACATACTAAAAATCCGCCAAATTCCCTTCGGTGGAACATGTCAAAATTAAGCGTTAAACATTTTGAGCTGTTAACACAGGACACCCAAGGTAGTTGACATGAAACGTTCAAACGAGAAATGCGCAAAATGTCTTTGTTACTCTTGTAAAAAACTTAAAGAAGAAAGAATAACTGCTACCTAATTTTCGGTGATAAAAAAGACGTTTTTTGTTTTTTAAAAAGGATAAATATTAAACACAGTTGGCTGTTGCACAGAAAGACTATGCTCCACTCAAGGAACACCAAAGTAGCAGGGGGCTAACAAAGTAACAGAGTGGGCTGTTATCTTTAAAATTACGACAAATTAAGTCGTAAGGCTTTAAATCTAAAAAAAAAAACGAAAGCCGTTACGTAAATATTAGCTTTTAAAATACAACATTTTTTATCAGATTTCTGTTAGCTTTATGGGTGAAAAATATATATCTAGTTGGATTTTTGTTGCGTTCGAGGTACGAGAACAGTGGTATACTATGTTGAAACTTAACCTCGTTGGTGCGTTCCCTTAATTAACAGGCATAAGGGTCGAGTCTAAGACGTCACCCATTGTTTTATCCTAGAGAAAAAAATGCGTTCCTCCAAATTAAATTAAGTGCCTAGTCAGTGTCTTCCTGCATACTAATTCGGTATAGGTTTACTAATGAGCGTCTCCCTTATTCAATAGAAACAATAAGCTTGCCTCGGCTTGCCCGTTAAGTGACTTGAACCCGGTTTTCAAACCGTCTATTAAAAGGAAAATAGGAATAAGAGAAGCGATCACCTAGCAACGCGCGAAACGGCTTCCTATATCTTATTTAGCGCTAAAACTCAGACACGTAAACAAAACACATACAGAAAGTGGAGTTGAAAAGTCTTTATTTCAATTAAGTTCACGTCTTCTTATTTAGCGCTAAAACTCGGATATATAAACAAAACACACGCACATATACACAAAGTGGAGCTGAAAACTCTCTATTTCAATTTTGTCTGACTATTACAGAACTGTTTTCTCCGTTCTATCTCGAGGAAATGAAAAACTATTGAAGTCTCAACGTTTCACTTCGCGGCTTTCTGATCCAGATGCAAAATATCAGCTTGCGAAGTTCGGGCATGCGCATGGGTTTAAAAGTGACACAGCAGTCTTGACTTGTACTTTTTGCTTTCTCTCCTCCCTTCTTTTTTGGCTTTTCTTGCCTCATTTTTTTTTCTCTTGCTGGGCATTTAGCAGGCTTGATTTTGGTGGGAAGAGTTTTTAGGAAAGCTTTTAGGATCTTAGGATTAGGTGAAAGGAAAGGTAGGTGGGTAAACCTTGTTCTAAAAGTACCTGATTTTCAGGTCAATGTCACGTGGTTTTTTGCTTGTTTCTCCGGTGTCCTTGACTGAATTGTGCTCATTCTGGTATGGTTAGAAAGATCTCTTCACTCTGCACAAGTTAGCGAAGAGAGTTGTCCTTGACCGTTAAAACGGATGACGCCACAATGGGTAGAAAGGACCTGGATCCGCACGGGCGGTTACGGGCGGTGTAGGGGCGAATGGGTTAATTTACTTTAGGAATAAATAGAGGATATTACGTGGCAACGCAGAGACACGAAATTTCTCTTCTATTGTTGAAAAGCATTTCACGATTAAGGCTACACAAAGACATTTTGTCTCTGTTGAGTGTTACGTAGTAAAATTGCTTTCATGCGTTGCGTGACGTTCTCGAACGTTCTCTACGTTTTTGGATTATTCATGAATAATTAATTACGGCATGTTTACATTTCAGCAGGAGTCAGCAGATTTGCATCCGTTACTGAAATCATAAAATACGTCGAAAAGCTACTACTATTCGCCTGTTTAGTATTTTCTAGAACCTTATGTTAAACGGTATACAAGTTCCAAGCGAGTTCTTTTGACGAGCTACGTTTTTTCCCACGAGCTGGACTGCTGTGTTTAGTCAAGTGTGACGAAGGTCGAATTTCAAGTTCTGTGTTTACAAGCTGGCGGAAGCCGTAGGATACCTGAAGTTCAAATGAGAGTTTGTTATTATTAGCAGAGGCTGTTTAGTTTTACTTAAGTTCAAGTCAAGTTTGTGTTGGCGGATGCTGTGTTTTACAGCTCTGTAAAGGCTATGTTTCTTTGGTATTAAACTTCCTTGAGTTAATCCGACATCCCTGCGTGCTGATAGTCAGTGAATAATTATCCTCAAAACATTCGAACTCGTAACATTTAGTTTTAGCCAATTCCATGCTCAAGCATTAACTGAGGAATGGGTACGGAATGTATAGAAATTAGTCATGTACTCTGACGATACGACAAAAACTTCGGACTTGTGACTAAGAAAAATAGAGAATTATTTTTTTCACTGTTTGTTTTGTTAGACTTGTTATTCACCGCCAGTAACCTCATATTTGACCTAGGTCTAAACTTTTAGACCCAAGTCAAATTTAGAAGGATTTGTATGGAGTTATCAGAGCATAACTGGGCTAGTATCTCAGAGACAAGTTGTCCCGAAATGCTAGTTTTTGGCAAATAGGCCTCTTGGATGTTGCTCTTTTCAGAATGTCCTGACAAATCCCATAATTTCACAAATTAACACCTTACTCTTACCACATTTCATTTCTTACTATTCCTCCGCATTTACAATTAATCAGTTCCACAACCACGACGCCAAAGTGTACTCTCCGTAGCGTCTTGTTTTCTCTAGGATAAAACAATGGGTGACGTCATAGACTCGACCCTTATGCCTATTAATTAAGGGAACGCACACGGAACGCAAAGGGAACGCACCAACAAGGTTAAGTTTCAACATAGTATACTACTGAGAACGCAACCCCTAATTTGTGTCATTTGGTGATTCTTGTGTCCTCGGCGTTCATCTTTCAAAGGTTTGGTGAGGTCTGATCTTCTGTCTTCGTAAAGCGTTCATCTTTTAAAAAGTTTGCTGAATCTTCGTAAATCGACATCGATCTGTGTTTGCTGAATCGTCCAAAGCGTTCATCTTCAGAAGTTTGCTGTTAAATTTTACTTTGGATTACGCCTTCATATTTTTCAGCATGGTTCGTCACTGGTTCGTCACTGTCTTTGGAAAATGTCTGCGACTCCTGGTGCATGCATCAAACCGGGTTTTGTTCGGCGGCCGTTGTGCCACAAAGTAAATTTACCGAGTTGTGTAGCTCGGCGGCCGTTGTGTCACAAAGTAAATCGACCGCGTTGTGTAGCTCGGCACCACAAAGTAAATCTACCGAGATGTGAAGCTCGGCGGCGCCATTTGATCATGACTTGTGATATTTTCGGTACCGGAAAAACAAACACTTTAACTCTATGTTAGTTATTAGGAAAAACTTATAAACTAGCCCACAGTAGCGCCACTCTGGAGTCACTGAAATCAACACGCTCGACCAAATTACTGAAAAGGTTATTGACGTGAGCCGCACACCCATTCCATTGAAGGCTTTGACAGGGTTAGTGCGAAGTTTGAATTCAGATGTGAAAGCTTAGTTAAAACAGTAAATTCAATGTAATTCATTTTGTCAACAAGTTGGTGATTGGATGCTCTTAAAAATAACAGAGAAAATTATCCCAAGAAATGTTTTTGAAGAAAGAAAAGAATCCCGGGTTAAGCTAGCCTCCCACACAGGCTTTTTTAGGGGAGCAAAAACGTCTGCGTGGGAGGCTAGGGTTACGCACTAATCGGCCTTTGAGCAATTGGTAGATAATTTTTTTGGCTTTTGTTACCTATATGTTAATTTTCGTTAATATCGCAGTTCCTTTAGCTAGGCTTTACAATTAAAGTGTAATAAAACAAGACAACAAACATATGGCGTAATGGGGGTAACACCGCTCCGCGATCGGCGTGGTGGACGACATCCATAGCGTGACCATAAAGCCTTACTTATCTCCCCGGCGCTAATATACGCGCGCCGGACCGGACAAGTTCAGGTAGGTCCAAAAGAAACAAACTTAATACGGCCTAACACTCCACGGCACCACAAGCTGAAACCTCCGGCCAGCATCGTGCAACTTAATGGAACGGTGTAGGCAAATATTTTGTTCTAGGAACTTTATCTTATCAGCACTACGAGCCGACTCCGCCGGCACGCGCTGGAATACAATAAAATATAAAAGTTTGCGTTAAAATCAAAGCTTGGGGAAGTCGCCGTGAGACTTAAACAGAGGGCGAAAGAAAGCGGCGAGCCCGTGTTTATTAGAACAACAACAAAGCCTCCAAAGGGAGGGAAGGGTGGGAATTACAAAACTTTAGGACGGTTGAAGTACTCCAACTTAGCAATACAGCTCGGAATGAGACACAGGACTTTTACTAGGCACTTATAGTCCGAGTGCTATCCCAAGGTAAGCCAATGAAAAATACTGTACTTCAGAATAGAACTTGCACCTAAAGTGCTCCACGAGATATGCATGAGGAAAATTATTTTTCCTAGCCATGCAAAACGAGCGATACATTAGAAACTGGCCCTAATTGCAACAAAAACAAGGATTGCTATTGTATCAGTAATTTCCCAGCGATAGAAGTGATTTTACGTACTACCCAGTACTTTTACCCACTACGAGTAAACTTCTACGAGATTTGATAAGCGCTATAGCATAACACTGCGTTACATGTTGCCGATTGAGGGCGTCACGCTCCATTAACTGCGTTTTACAATTGAGTTGTAAAACTTTCTTAATGTACCAACATCCTCAAATATACAAGTTTCACTGTTTTGAATCCCAGTTTTCGATCACTCATATTGTATTCAGGGTTTGAACATAACTGCCTCACAAAACTCGATTAAAGAAAATGGGAATAGTCTAGACAGTTTGAACCGATACAAAGCCATCGTCCGTCCATTTTTTTTTCATGTTTCACCGAACGGATTTTGGTAGACTGCAAAACAGTCCGTATTTTTGCGTATTCAAGTACGCGCGAGCAGTCAAACAAAAGGTCTGGAACGAGGCTGAAACAGAGAGCGAGACTGGGGAGAGACGATAAAAGTACGGACTGTCCGTTTTGCATACGTTATATTCGTTCGAATTACCCGCTTCTCCCAGCCACGGGCAATTCCCATTGGCTAAATTTCGATGCAAGCTGTCACCAAGCTGTCAAGTAATGTTTTCAACAAGTCATTTGCGACATTCCCTACCGTGATGAATTGCTAAAGCATTCGCTGTAAAATGACGGATTTGCTGGCGAGAATTGGGATTTGTTTTAAAATTGGCGCAGAGGGAAGCTTTGGAGTTGCTGCTCAGGGGAAAGGATGTTTTCTGTGTTCTACCAACAGGATTTGACAAAAGCCTTATTTATAAGATGTTTAATTGTTCATACAAAGAGTTCTTCAAGTTCCGTGCAACGGCCGACCGTCATTGTTATCTCGCCTGGCTAAAAAAGGGGGATCGGTAGGAAACACACGTCTTTTACCTCATGCAAAACTGCTGCTTGTTCCAATGAATTGTTTTCTCTGTCGACTGAGTAGATTTTGCTTTGGAGGAAAACGTTTTGACTGAGCAAATGTGAATTTTGGTCTTTTTTAAAATATATTTCATACTGAGAGGTCGTGACACGCATATTGATTTTCTCTGGTCGGCATGATTTGCCCTCTGATGTAAGAGCATTTTCTTTCTTGGCCCTTTTAGAAATGTAAAGCTCTTCATTGAGGCTGATTAAGGGTTTTAGGTTGGTTTATTTCTCCAAAGTGCCTCCTGGATTTGACTAATATTTAAGCGATTTTCTTTGTGTCCGTGAATGTGACTTTTTCCTGCAATGTTTTGTCACGCTTGGCCCAGCTAGAAAACGGACAGTCGGTTTTTTTTCTCTCGCCTCACACGCCCTAAGGGCGTGTGAGGCTCGCGCGCTTCGCCCGCTCAAGACTCTTACGCCACGCTTTACCAATTTCTTTACTGATTTTGAGAAAAAAACCCACTGTTTTGCAGTCTAGGATTTTGGCGGTTTTTTTAGCATGTTGTTAAATAGCCTTCCAACAATTAAATTGCGTTGAAAAAAATTGTGTTGCAATTACTTTGATGTTAAACCACAATTTGACTGGACTAGTAAGCTGCAAGCAGCGACGGCAATTATTTTGTGGTTTGCTGCTCGCTAACTCGTCCTTATCCCCAACAGGATTAGACATAAGACAATAAACATTTCCAAAACATTTCTAACGTTCATGCTTTTCTGAGTTTGACAGTAATGACAATGATTTATGACCAAAAAAATGAAAATGGCTGCAGCGGACGACAAATTTGATGTGAGAAGTTTGAAACTGTCAGATAGGGAAAATGTTTTGAAAACAAGACTTTGTGGATCCATCCTCCACCCTCCCAACCGATGTTGACTTTTTTGTTGTCTCCTGCGTGTAACTAGGGCAGGCCTTGAATTCTAAAACAAAATCGTTGAGGACAAACGTCTCCGCTAATTTAGTTTCATTTGAAGAACAGAATTTTGCTGGCGGCTACTAATATGGAACTATTTTGAACGAAATCACTGGGTCCCGACAGCACCAGCCGCATCCCATATTATTTAGATGACACTGAAAAGCTTATCACAGGCTATCTAATAAATGTTTAACCTTCGGCAAATCCTGCAACACAACAACAACAACAACAACAACAACAACAACAACAACAACAAAAACACTGGAGGTGGGTGGGCGGGATCGAGGAATGTAACTGTCTTAACCTTTATATACCGGTGGGAGTACGTTTTTGCTTTTACGTCTGTGCCGCGTTGTTCAAAGCTGGGTTAAGATAACCAAGGGTTAGTGCGAAATGTAAATTCAGATATGAAGGCTTAAAAAGGAACTTTAGTTTAATTCTTTTTGTCAACAAGTTCAAGATTGAATGCTCTTAAAAATAACGGAGAAAATTATCCGAGGAAATGCTTTTGAACAGAAGAAAAAGAAACCCTGGTTAAATTTAACCCTGGGTTAAGCGCTAATCGACCTTTAAATAACTGATCGTTAAAGTTGAGATGCACTTCCCAAACCGAGTAATGTAGTTTTCTTAACATTCATGGGATTGCCGCATATTAAACCCTTAGCCCCAGTGTGTCCAAAACCATTCAGAGAACGCATGTGTATGAAACGCAACGACAGAACCATAGCCATTTATTAACCAAGAAATAGAATCTACGATGAAACCTTCATTGAGAGGACAGACACTCGACCTTTGCTGGTGTTGGCTATTAATGGATTCGTTTTACAGTAAGCAGACAGTAAATATGGGAAGCAAACTTTGAGATAAAGTGAGCCACTCATCCGCTTAATATGATGTCCGTTTAATATAGGATTTACTGAACTTTGATCTCCGGGTGGGCGTCAGAACCATGGGAATATAAATAATACTCGTGTAGACAAGGACAAATATAAGCAAGGTTTCCGCGATGTAAGCTAGGATAAAAGCTCGTACGACAATGTATAGGTCCTACAGTGATGTTCCACATTATCAAACAAAGAATACAACAAATGTAAGCGAATTTCATCTGAAAGACAAGGCTGGTAAGAAGGTCATACAATCTGATATCTTACCGGTTGATGAAGACTTAGCCTCGCATCATTCTTCCGCAGCAACTGCACTATGGAGTGGTGGTTTTGACGTTCAGCTTTTTGCAGAGGTGTACGTTGAAACTAAAAACATCACAAGTAGGGTAATACGTATTACTTACCACTTGCTATTAACCAAGGAGAATGTTCTAACGGTACCGCAAATGACGTAATAAACGCCTCTTATCTAATAAACGCCCCTTCTACGGCTGACTCGTCCACAGTCGTCTTTTTTGTCTCCTAATTTTAAAGATTAACGAGGGATGCGCGTGGAAGATGCGCGAGGGGAGACAAGTGCCGTAATAGTCTCCCAAGGCCGTTCCATGACCGCCTACAAATGATAAGAGACGACTGGGGACGAGTCAGGCTCTACGATCTTAAAATTGTATTAGACGTCCCTCTCTAATAAACGCCCCCTGTCTAATAGACGCCCCCTATGAGAATGACTCCAAAATACTAGGAATTGGCAAGAAGGTGCCAAATGATTTAAATTATTCAGTTTCTTGCTTGATTAACGAGGCTTTGCGTATTTCATCTTGTTCAAAGTCAAGTTTGACGTAAGGATAGACTAACGATGGAGTGGATATTCCGCTATTTTTGAACTCTTTTGATATTTTCGCCGAAAGCATATAAGTTTTGTTGAGCTTGTTACAGTTTGGACCCCTAAAATTAAAAAGACGCCCCGAGCGTTTATTGGGTCATTTACGGTAAGTCCACATAAGTTAGCCACCACCACAACGAAACCTGTGTTAGTGGCTGGAACCAGTATTTTTGCAGGTATATCTCCATCTTTGAGTCTCTTGTACTTACATTGATCTTCTTTGTAAAGCCATTATAACATTAGCCTGGGACTATGCAGGCTCCGTAGTGGGGGGAAAAGGCAAAAAACGGGATGAAAACAGGAAGAAAATCGGCGAGCGAAGTGGGGAAAGGCCGAGGAGCTTCGCAATCCTCATCCCTCCCCAGAATCCCTCGCTCTCTTCACTGGCCGCTTTTTTTTTTTTTCAGAATCCCTCGCTCTCTTCACTGGCCGTTTTTTTTTTTTTTCGCTTTTCCCCTCACTTCGGAGCCTAGTCCCGGGCTATTTTAGCACATATATCACACATAAACTAAACTTTGTTATTATATTATTTTTGGGCGATCGGAATAAATATCACGTGACAATGACATCACAATAGTTTTAGCTGTAAATCGGATTTCAGCCCTTACCACCATTTTTTTTAGAAAATGGCTAGTCTTCTCGGATAAGGACGATAAACCGTAAGCTTCGTCTCACAACCCTTACACATGCACTAAACTCTGTGCGACGCTAAAAAACCCAGAGTAAGGGAAGTAGTCCCCCGTATGGTGGTCTATCTCCAATTCACAGTCACATTAGGGGATATTCATAGCTCATTACTTCTATTCATTACTTGAAAACTACTGCACAAAAACAGTCTGGCAAAAGTAACCCGACCATTGTTGTAAAAAGATCTCTGAAAATCCTTGAAGGAAATGCATAATAAGATATTCACAAGTTAAAGTAAAGGTACCGTGGTTGTTCGCTGCCTAGTTGATGTAAATAGACCATTTTCGATATATTAAAATTCGTACTTGGCTCCGAGGCTTGGCGGAATAAAACAAAAGAAGTGTATTATTTATTGCTGAGCCTCAAGATGGTTTCTTTTGTTTTTTTCCCCCAAGCCTCGCAGCCAAGTATGAATTTTAATATATCGGAATTGGTCTATTACGTTGACTGTAGACGTTCATGTTCTCACTGCAACATATTGTTTGATTTATAAAACATTTACTAACTCACCCTGTCTTCAGCGTTGAAGTTCGCACCATGCTTCAACAAAAGTTTAACAACAGACTCTTGTCCATACCAACAGGCAAGATGAAGAGGAGTCAGGAAGAACTGTCAAAAATAGGAAAAACAACGCAGTTAGATAGCGTTGAAAGAAGCCAGTTAGTCCCTTTTAACGATGGTCTTGCAAAATAAACTTAGAGCCCAAATGTAATGTTTGCAGGTCATTTTCTAGCAGAAATTGGTAGTCTAGACCAATTCTTTTATTAAATTCAGAGACCTGATTTCTTTACATTAGGAAAACATGGTCCAGAACATCCTCAGGTTAATACTGTAAGAAAGTAAAAAAACAAGAACGACAACAACAACAACAAACAAATAAAGCAGACAACTAAATAAATTCTCTACAGTGCTTAACCTCAGACATTCATGTTGTGCACGTTATTGGTTCTAGCAACATTTCCTCC